CATTATTACACACAGATCCGGCGTGTTTCCTTCAGCTTTTAATAACTCGTGTCAGTAAACGAGTTTCCATAAGAAGTTCAGACGTGTTGTGAAGGAAAAGTTAACGCTGATGAGAAATGATCAGTACCAGCTGTTAGCCTGTGTTCTGCTGATCAGCTGATTATCACACAGGAAGTGGGTGAGAGTTGAGTTGAGCTGGGGTCAGAGGTCACACAGTGAGGGTTATCAGCTGCCGACAAGCGTCTGTTTACAGCTGATACTAAGACACTGCCGCACCCTGAGACCCCACCCCCTCTAACAGCTGATTAACAGTTCACAGTGGAGGGTTTCTGCACATGCTCAGGAATGCATGTACTTTGTACTAATAACAGATTATTCCTGTAAAGTACTTCATGGGGCTATTTAAAGTACTTTAGTACCTTTTTGCGCAATGGACCGGTTTATATCTGACAATATTTTCACGGACCAGCCTTTAAGGTGTCGTGGATAAATACAACAAAATAAAGCCAGTACCGGTACCAAAAAAGAAGATCACAACACGGGAAAAGACCCCAGGACACCGAGTTAACGATAAAAATGATAAGAAATATCAATAAAAACCAAACGACTCGCGGACCAGCCCGGGGGTTGGAGACCACTGCTTTCATTACTTCCGTGTGTGTGTGTGCGCGCGTGCTAGTGATGGGTTAATCTAATTGGTTTGTGGCGAGCCGCGACCCTCTGACCAGTCACGGAACACAATGCTGCAGCGTCCACAAACAGCTGATTGAACAGGAGGAGCTTCTATGGAAAGCTTTACTGTTGTTGTGTGAGTGACTCAGGAGCCGCAGAGCTCGCTGTGTGACCGCGGCGGCTATTATTACCCCCTGAGGTCACGGGCGAGGAAGATGATGGTGTAAAAATAAAGCGAGGCCCTAAAGCGTGTAATCCTGAGCAGGGCTGGGCCATATCATGCCATTCACGGTAACACCGGTGTAATGTTGGGCAACGATAAGAAAATGAAATATGGCGACAGAATATGGGTAAAACGCACATGGCGGAAAAAGCATGGTGGTGACAGAGAACGAGGAGGGCGAAAGTGGATTGTTGAATGAAACCAGAACTGGTTTGTAAAAATGCTGCAGCTTCACTGGTGTGGAACTGGTTTAGCTTTCGTCCGTCAGATACACAACAAAGCACTATTTTTGGTAGCGCATGCTAGCGGGCCGTCGTTATTACCGTGTTGTTTGGAAAATACGTCACACTTAAAATCAATCCTTTGATTTTTCTGAAAGTCGACAGAGCCCCTTATAATCCCGTGTGCCTTATGTATGAACTCTGGTTGTGTTTACTGACCTCGAAACGATTTTATGTGCACGGCGCTCGAAAATCTGTCAAATGTTTCAGTACGACTTTGCTAAGCTACCAACTGTTACATTTTTATATAACTTTAATGCAGATAAAAAAACAGCTGCTTGTTTCAGTGAAAACACACTGTTTGTTTTTGCACTAATAAAGTTGTGGAGTTGTGAAGTATTTTGTCTCGTGTCAATTATGTCGTCAGTTATATCGTCATCTCAAATTTCCAAATGTATGTCGTGATAAATATTTGTGGTCATATCGCCCTGCTCTAATCCTGAGCACGCTTTAAAGTCAGTCGTCAATTTCAGTGAAATCACCGTGCTGTCTCCACTTCCTGTTTTCTGTCCAGGATGTCGCTGGAGGGGCTGGCGGCGAGTGGCTTTAAGCAGTGCCAGCAGGCCCAGGATCAGCTGGAGGACACCATCGGCGCCGTGATGAAGGCGGAGCAGCAGCTGAGGGAGAATGCCAGAGAGGTGAGTGCCTCCTCTCTCTGAACAGGAAGTGCTTTAAGGCGCGATAACCTCAGTGTCACATGACCAGTGCAGAAGATGCCCTTTCAGCAGATCAGATGGTAACGGCACAAATGTGTTCGACATGCCACGACACAGGAAATGCAAACGATTCCTGTTCAGCCGATCAATAAAGTTTGTGCCCAGCAAGTCTGTGTTGGATTAGAACAATTGATCAGTGATCAATAACTGAACTGCTGATGAGCTCACGTGAGTTTGTAAAATGTTTTCCTGCCGAGCTGCAGATGGGAGGAAGAGCAGGTCAGCTGATTCACAGGAAGCTCCTTGCTGAAACCTGGATCAGCTCACACGTTTACTACCTGCTGTCCTGATCAGTGCGTTAGTTACCTGCCACCAAATGGAGCTGCTTGAAACTTTATTGACACCCAGATCATTTTACGGTGAAACACTTGTCCTGCTAAACTGCTGCGACCACTCAGCTGGCTCTGTGCCACGCCCCCTGTTTTTCATATCAAACCGTGAATCACTTGAGCTTTAAACACCTGAGGATTTACCTGTTGAGACCGACCAATCGCATCACTGCTGACTCGGCAAGGCTGAAACCACCTGAAATCCTGGCTTTGTCTGCAGCTGAGCCACAGGTGAGGGTCAGGGCGAGGCGGGTTATAAAGCCTGCAGAGGAGGTGAGGAGCTCAGAGGAGGTGAGAGCAGTGAAGTGCGACGGGCTGGACTTCATACTTTGTCTCCAGGTAAAACTTCAGGCTCAGGTGTGCGTCCACGATCGTTGGTTAGGGACTCACAGCTTCGTTATCGGGGGTGGATTGATCTCAGCTCCGTGATGTTTTTTTTCTGTGAGATAAACTTTATTTAAACCGAGCAGAAACAACAGGACAGGCTGTTTTACTTTAAGCTGTCAGCTGATCCACAGGAAGGGGGAGCTCGCGTGTCCGTGTGAAAAAACTTTATTAACAAAAAGCTTTGTTTACGCTCTGTGATCACATGACTGTCCGCAGCGCTGCTTCACGTTAGGACTGGGCGATATATTGAGTTTTTAAATATATCGATACATTTTTATACAAGATGTGACAATATCGTTTATATCGATATAGTCTATGTTACGTTATGACTATACGTGTGGAGCCGCAAGTTTGCCTCTTTCGTCCACTTTTGTCTCTACTCGGCCTCGCCTTCACTGAACACAGCTCCCCCATCGCTCCACCTGCAGGCAGGACGGACACGCAGCTATCACAGAGGAGCTGCTCGGTAAAAAGAAAACATTTGGAGACTATTTTAGTGCTGTCAGCGTGACGGTAACGCCATAACTGCATTAACGGAGCAAATCTCTGTTAACAAGTTACCGCGGATCGCCCCGTGCGTGGAGGCTGGACGGCGTTAACAAGCTAACCGGGCTAACGCGTTGGCGCCTAAAATCCTTTCATTTTCTCAAGAATCGACAGCGCGCCTTTTGTATGAATTCTGGTTGTGCTTACTGACCGCAAACCGAGTTTCTGTGCTGCACGGCGCTCAGCAATCTGTCAAAAATGTTGTAGTACGACTTTGGTCAGCTACGGAGCCGCACTGCTTGATGGATTGTTGGAGCATTACGGCTGCCGAGGAGCCTCGCGGAGTGATACGTACTGTGCTTCAGCGTAATGTTACCGTACTGTGTGCGTATAAGGACCAAAGACGGCAGCTGTTCAGAGTCGTGGTTTCGAAGCGGATTTCAAACTCCAGGCTGTCGGTCACGCAGTAGACGTTAAGAACAGAGCAGCTGTGAAATCTTTATGCTCAGCGTCTGTTAGTTTACATTTTGACTGCACAGTTGTGAGCTTTTTGTTATGCACTAAAACAACATTGTTTTATTTCATTTATGGAGAATTATTATTTAATAAATGCTGATCATTTATTTCTGAGTAATTTTTCATCTACACCTGCTGTGCATGTTAATAAAAGTGCCTGTGTGACATCTGGGACACAGCTGTGACTGAGAACTCTTTTTGTTCTTACTTTGACTTTAAAAATATCGAGATATATTTCGTATATCACCATACAACTAAAGAACATCGAGATATGAATTTTGGGTCATATCGCCCAGTCTTACTTCACGGCATCGTCGGTGTTTTAGATCGATCTGTCTGCTGGGGAGAAGGGGCGGAGCCTCACTGCTTCTCTGAAGGCTGAGCTCACTGTGGGCACGGAGGACTCTGATTAACCTGCAGCAGTTTAAACCTCAGCCTCAGGTGTTTTTGTTCACCTGTTTTTACTGTACAGCTATAAATCTGGACACACACGCTGACCTATCACCTCAGAAATGACTCGCTCTGAGTCACTGTCCTATCGTCAGTGGAGACTTCTGGTGAAATTTGCACTTGGAGGAGCAAACGTATCAGAGCCTGCAGGGTGAAGCTCACACCAAGGACAACATTTAGTGAATTTGCAGTGAAGCACGGCTGAGATCCCAGATTTAAACCACATCCTCCTCCCCACCTGCAGCCATCATATGGTTTAAAATGAGTGTAAGATGCAGAAACGAGCGCCTGTTGGTTGTTTTTCTCTGGAAGAATCTGTTTGGTTACTGAACATTTCACGTTTAGGTGTTGCTTTACACGTCTCACCTGTGCGTCCCCTCAGGTGCGCTCAGAGTTGCAGAGCTGCGTGAGCCGCCAGCAGGAGGCGCTGCGCTGCAGGGAGGTGTGGCTGCTAGGTCAGATCGAGCTGCTCGAACAAGTGAAGACGGAAACTCTGCAACAGCAGCTGCACCAGCTGCACCGGGTAACTGGGGGGCGGGGCCTGTTTACCTGTGTTGACTGTTTGTTTACCTGTCTGCTTACCTGTGCTGTGTCTGTGCTGCAGCTCCGAGGTCAGTTTGACGTGATCGCCTACCAGCTGCAGAACTCCAGCAGCAACGACCTGAACAACCAGCTGACCAGCTGCATGGAGAAGTA